GCTGAATCGGTTGGATTAAAGCTTCAAAAAAATTCGAAAAAATTATTAAACTTCATTATAAATGTTGTTTTTTAGGAATCCAATAAGAAATGAGGGTACTACATTATTAACTTTCATTTTTTTTCATCAATTTGTGAATATTGAAATGCTCTTTCCCTATATGAACTTATGTTGACTATTAAATTTACATCACACAAAAGAAATCATAGAATTATCATGGATTAATTATATAATCATATATGGACTACAATAAAGAGTTGACTAAATCGATGAAAATTTGGCCACTAAAATCTCGAATTGGCGGAAAACCCTAATCCATGAAAAAAAACCCAAATTATTACAACCTAACTAACTATAATATTATATACCAACAATATTTTGTAATTATTTTATTATATAAATAATAACAAATCCAAAATATTTTATAATATCATATAATTTAAAATGTATTATTGACAACTGTAAGAAAAATAGTACACTGCATGATTTATAATACAAAAATTAATAAATAAAATAAAAGATTTGGTTATCAATGTAGAAATTATTGGAATGTGTACCAATTTTCTTTAAGTTTTTAGGTTTCTAGAATAAATTAGTGGAAGAGATTGTTAGTAGAAAGAGAGAGATTTCAAATGGCCTCATTGTATGAATCTTATCTTTAAATTAATATTACTAAATTTATGTTAAAGACCATCTTGTTATAGAAATAAAAAATATAATTAGACCATTTATTCTTAGGTTGTATGAAGAAATACCTTTTATTTTTTTGACAAGAAATACTTATTGTGTTATCTTTTATTTTTTTTTACAAGAAAATATGATACTTGTTGATTATCTTTGTTTTTTTTTTTTGACAAAAGAAGAAGATGTTGTACTACTTTTTTTTTGCTTGTTGTATTATTTTTTACTTTTTTTTACAAGAAAAATAAAAAAATGATGCTGCCAAAGTACTTTTTTCTTTTTTTATGTCCTTTTTTTTTATTTTTTTTTACAAGAAATGCTTGTTGTATTACCTTGTATTTTTTTATAAGAAAAATAAAAAAATGTTGTATTATCTTTTTTATCTTTATCTTGAAAAGCCTTTTATTTTATATTTTTTCTATTTTTTTACAACAGTATTTTCTGCCTTTGTTTATTTTTTTGACAACAAAATTTTTTTTGTATTTTTTGGTTATGCGCTAAGGGGTTCGAACTAAAAAAAAAAAAATTGTTGTGCACTAAGGGGTTCGAACTCAAAATATTTTTTGGTGTTTGCTATGGGGTTCGAACTCAAGGCATACACCCAAAATTCGGTGTTGTCAACCAACATCGCCACGTCACCACATGTGATTCTTCTAACTTCCATAATAATATATATTCAATGATATTGCTTTAATGACTTTTTGTGAGAATTATCCCACATCGAAGGATGAGTGTTGCTTGGTTCTCTATAAAGTCATGTGTATTAGAGTTTTTGTTGCGCCTGTAGAAATGTGAGGGAGGCAAACGTGGATGAGCTACCACGTGTGGCCACGTGTCACTCTCGGGCGGTGGCCACGTGTTACTCTCGTGAGGCTGCCACGTGTAAACCCAAAAAAATACCGGTTTTTTCTGTGAGACTTGCGATTCACTATTCGGAATTGCCCGGTTCTCTCTGAACACGGGCGATTCCCGGTTTTTTCGTGGAACCGGCTCTGTAGCAGACGATTCCTAAGTCGAACCGAGAGAGTCCGGCATGCATATAGATAGATCGTTCGGGAAAGCTAGATATCCACCTTTGAGTGAAGCACATGTATGTGCGAGAGATACCTCTATGCGCCAGTTGTGGTCGCATCAGTTCATGGTAACCTTGACTTTTTTCTAGGGGAGGACCTGTAATCCACAGACTAAGATTGTGACTCCTTGACCCATCGACCAGACTTTGGTGACCCGCTAATGAGCCCCTGCTTGGACTGTGGGTCATGAGAAACACTGGGTCGGTTCGATAAAGTATGTGTGGTCTGTAATCCACAGTTGAAGGTGGAGTACCTCGTGACCGTTGATTGAATTCCTGAACCATATGGATTCACTTCCCATCATATTAATTTAATTGTGTTATTATTAAATTATTTTAAATTTATTATTTGAATTTTTATAAGTCATTTGATATTTTATTTCTTATTTTTGGACTTATAAAAATGAAGTTATTAATTTACAAAGTTATAATGTTTAAAAATTCATTTTATTTAATTTTTAAATATTTATTGAAAAATACATGGGGGCCCATAGTGCACATGGGCTCACCATGTGGGTGTTAGGTGGGGCCCCACGTACGATACATGGGTGGCACGCCCCACCCTTGGATACATTCTTTTGTTGCTTTGTCTTCAAGTTTATTAAATATAGTAACTATATCTTATAGCATAATATCAAATATTGATTAAGAAATATTGACCATATCTTATCTTGATTATTGAAGGAATATCTTAACTTGATATTATTGAAATATTATTATGGAAAATATTAGATGAAATGGGCAATTTATGGTATGCCTTATATCTTTAATGGATTTAATTTATTTAAATATATTGATGGGAAAATAGTTTAAGGAAAGGGGGATAATGGTTCATGCACATTCCATAATGTTGATCTCTCTTTATAGAATGGATGACTCAGATCTCTCACCTCATAAGTCACGTTGATCAAAAGTCCATATTCAATCTCAAGAAAGAGGCAAACTATGGGAAACCCTAGACCTAAATTTCACTATAAATAAGGGTGCTCCGCCTCCATCTCTACACACATCTCTCTCTCCCATAAACTCTCTCTCTCTCTTCTCTAGGGGCCACGCCCCTCTCTCTCTGCTCTCTAATTTTCTTTCTCTACTCTCTCTCTCCTAAAAAGACCCTAGGGGACACATTCCAACATAGAGACTCTCTCTCTCTCATGATCTAATCTAAGGGTTAGAAAAATTAGGATTTGAGTCTAATTCTTTTAGAGTTAGGGTTTTTTAGAGATTTAAGGGTGGTTACCTAGTTTGGCCGAAATTAGCTTTCCTGGTTTGAGATTGAAGCTACACTGCTGATCTCGCGCCATTGGATATGGTGACTTGGTGTGGGGTGTAAAAAGCCCGGTTGAGGCAATCTCCGGCATCTTTTCTTTTAATTGTTTGTTCTTTTATTTTATATTATCAAGTACATTATTAGGTTGTATGAATGACATCAAGTAGTTGAGATTTATTTTAATGATGTGTTATTTATTTTTTGAATTTCTATTGTTTGTAATAAGACCATTTGTGAGTGATCTTGTTGCCAAACTTATAAGGGGTGATATTATTAAAAAAAAAAAAATTGTATTTCCCCGGCAAAAGATTACATAGGTTTTTCTTTCACCAGATCCATAATATTCAACCACAACGACCAAAGCTCCCATGGAACCTTCTGTTCCTTATTGCACCACTTAATCACATTCAAAGAATCCCCTTCAATCCACAGATTAGCTCTTATATTCTTGTCAATAATAATTTTCACCACACACAAAAGAGCACTCAATTCAACAAAATTAGCTGTTTTTACCCCAATCGGATCAGTAAAGGAGAAGACAATAAAACTCGAGGAATTGCGTGCAACACCACCAATTCCAGCAATACCTGGGTTTCCCAGAGAACTCCTATCAAAATTGAGCTTAATACCACCAACTGCAGGTGCCACCCAAAAACACCTTGGTCTAGTATGTGTATTCCCATGGAAAAAGTGATTGATAAGATTTGTCATGACATCAACTATTGAAACCCCCTATCCTTCTTTAATCATAGACAACCACAACCAAGTAGAATGCTTAACTTTGATTAAAATCTTCTCAAAGGATAAAGATTTCCCATCGAAAGTTCTTCTATTCGTCTCCTTCCATATTTCCCACAGGATAGCCCCTTTATATATCTTCCATATAACCTTACCAATTGCAGACAAATGGCCAACAGACAGCTGAGAAATAATCCCTTCCACCGTTTGAGGGAGTACCAAATGTACGCCAAGAGCGAAAAACAACTAATACCAAACACGTGCTGTAAAAAGACAAAGAATCAACAGATGTGCCCCTGATTTCCCATCTTCTTTGCATAACAAACATACATTGGGCAAAATTTTCTCCCTTTTAATCAAATTATTGATGGTTAAAATCTTGTTTAAAGAAGCAACCCAAATAAAACATTATACCTTATGGGGTATCGGCCATTTCCAAATAGATGCCACTATGGAATTAGACCATCTTAGCCTATCATGGAACAATAAGTTATAACAGGACCTAACCAAAAACATCCCATCACTCTCAATCTCCCAAATAATTTCAACCTCTGCATCACCAGCAACATAAACAGTTTCCAAAATTTCCATTAGAGCATACCATTGGGAAAGAAGGTGGTTACTTAGCTAGCCATAAGAGAAGGAGATATTCCAAGAACATTGCGTACGTCTCCTCTATATAGCATCACGAATAGTCAAGTTAGGCTAGGTTACCAATCCAAAAAGATCAGGAAAGGCAACTGTCAAAGGAAATTCTCGTACCCATTTATGATGCCATAAAGATACTTGACTGCCAATGTTCCACCTTGAATACCCTGAAACAATCGGCTTGCATCTATAGATAGCCTTCCACACTTGTGAGACCTCTCTTCCATGCCTATTACCCAATCACATTTGGAATCTATCAATCCCATACTTAGCCAAGAGAACTTTGAACCAAAGATGATTTTTTAGCTTTAAATTTCTCCACCACCACTTACATAAAAGTGCTTGATTACAAACCTTAATCCTCCTTAATCCCAAACCACCTTCTCTCTTAGGCATACACACCCTATCCCATCTAAGCAAGTGAAACTTCCTCCCATCTGAGTTAGAGCCCCAAAGGAAATCCCGCATTATTTTTTCTAATTTTCAAGCAACCGAAGCAAGCATATTAATCAGAGACATTTGGTAAACTAGGATATTTGATAAACACGATTTTAACAAAATAACCCTTCCACCAAAAGAGAGATACTTATACTTCTACAAATCCAATTTAGCTTGAACTCTTTCAAGCATTATATCCCAAACTGCAATCGATAGCCTTGAATCAGAGATGGGAAGACCCAAATAAGTAACAAGAAAGGATCCAACCTTATAGCCCATAATAGATGTTAACTCCTCTGTCACCCCTCCATCACAGCTAATCCCAACCATGGAAGATTTATGAAAATTTACTTTCGGACTTAGAGTGGCTTCACAAATATCCAAAAACCTTGCAATATTTGAAACTTGTAATGGCTCTACCTCACAGAAAATAAGGGTACCATCAACATATTGAAGACGAGATATTTGAATATCAGAATTAGCAACCTGAAATTCATTAAAATAACCCTCATTCTCCACCCTATTTAGCAAAAAGCTAAAACATTCAGCATTGATTTTATAGAGGGAAGGAGACAAAGGATCCCCTAGTCGTAACCTTCTAGAGGCATTAAAGAAACCCACTGGACTACCTTTAAGTAAAACTGAGAAATGTGCTGAGGAGCGGCACCAAAAAATCCAAGATCTCCATCTCTCACCAAAACCCATACCTCTCAGAATTTCCAAAAAGACCCCCCATTCAACCCGATCATATGCCTTTTCCATATCCAACTTAAATATGATACCTGGCTACTAATAACTCTAGAGTGAATGCATTCTTGAGCCAACAAAACACTATATGTAATTTGACGATCCTGAATGAAAGCAGATTGAGTACTAGAAATGAGAAAAGGCAAAACCACCTTCAACCTCTTTGTCAACACCTTAGCAACAATCTTATGCAGGCTAGTCAACAAGCTTATAGGCCTTATATCTGAGAGACTAGAAATCATCACTTTTTTATGAATCAAAGCCAAAAAAGTAGAATTTACACCTTTAAAAATTTGACCCCTGATCATAAAGCTTTTGACAAATTCTAAGACTTCCCCTTTAACCACCGATCAAAATTTATGAAAGAATGCCAAAGGGAAGCCATCAGGTCCCGGTGCCCGCTTTCTGTAATTCCTCACTTGTGACCTCTCTTTCTAGTTCATTTCTCAACTGTAAAGAAAGC